CAAGTACAGCGTAAGATTTAGAAATGATGTGACTGATATGACTGTTAAAAGACCAATTAGTGCTGAAAATTACACCAAGGTCTTTGATTTCTTGGACTTTTTGAAGTTGAGTCTGAGAGATTACATAAGACGTCGAAAGAATATTGTGACTTTTGGAAAAAGTAACTTGAAAACATTTTTTAATATTCAGAAAAAGGCGAGAGCTGAGACACCAGTTGTGTAGAATATTAATCACAGCAAAAATTTTTAAATCGTCAGCATACAGCAAAAATTTAGCAAATGAAAAACAAGAACTCGCATCATTTATAAATAATACAAAGAGTAAGGGACCTAAAATGCTACCTTAAGGAACCCCCGATGAGGCAATGAAAGATTCCTATCCGACAAATAAGATTTGAGCCATTGCAAAAATACTGGGTGGAAACCTAGTGAGGCTAGCTTACTGACCAACAAACTGTGCGAAACTCTATCAAATGCTTTGGCAAGATCAGTGTAAATGCAGTCGACTTGGAAACCGTTCGAGTTAGCTGCAATACAATACTCACTAAAGACGCCTAGATTAGTAACCGTGGAACGGTTGGGTACGAGAATTTTGTTTATGGATTTAAGTTACTTCATAACGCCTCTTGGGAGAAGTCAAGATCTCCTTGTTGTTGTTGTTGTAGCGGCTACAACAACCCCGCCCAGATCGGTTGGTATCTCAGTCATTGTCGTCAAGTTCCACTAACGGCAACCCTAGGAAGCGTGCAGCTTCTGTGGGGTTTGTCCACAGGGACAAGGCCGTTAGGGTTGTCGGGTTTTCCGGGCATGCGAAGAGATGTTTCGAGTCATGTGGGGTCTCTCCGCATGCCGGACACTCATTCGGCACATCCTCATTCAACCTACTCAAGTAGGAGTTCAACCTGCTGCAGTAGCCGGAGCGAAGTTGTGCGAGTGTTGTGCGTGTCTCCCGAGGCAGATGAAGCTCCGTCTCGTCTATGTCCGGGGGTGGTATGCCTAGAACGGCATTCACAGGTCTAGAGTCTACATAACTCGAGACTGAGTCCCTGTGAATGCCGTTCAGGGCCTGTCTGTAAGCTGTCGGGACCAGAGGTTGCTTAATGAACCTCTGGACTTCGTCCGTCAGTTCATATAGATGCCTCCTGACGTGCCTAGGCGAGGGCGGGAGCCACAGAAGTGGCCACCCAAGCAGACAGCTGCTTGCAGAGCATTATATTATGCTCCTTTACAGGGAGCATTTGCGCCTCGCCGTGCAGGTGGTGTTCAGGCGACATCTAGAGGCATCCCGTCGCTGTCCTGAGTGCGGTGTTCTGTACAGTCTGTAGCTTCGTCCACTGCGTCCTACTAGTCCCTGGCGACCACACTAGCGCTGCGTAGTTCAAAACCTCCAAGGCTACCATCCGTTCCCATAATGTTTTTCGATTATCAAACAACTCAAATATCTGACAATTATTTTCATAAAACCGTTTTAGATCTTCTACACATACGCACTTACACAGTCCAGTACATCATTAATATTTTGATTTCCACTCATTTCACTTTTGTTTGTGCTAAACCAATTCAACAAATGGCGGTGAATAACTCAGTGTGAGGGCAGGACCAGGATGAATGTATTTGCATAAAAATTTATTAAAGCAAAAAATGTTTTGGGTAGGCGTCGGAGCCAATGATAACCATCAGTTACATCAGTGCTTAAACTCCGTAAGAGTTTTTGGGGGTGTGCGTCAAGCGGAGTGTTGAGCACCGGTTATTTATTTAAGTTAAAAAATTGGGTAGGCGCTGTGGCTAATGGTAGCTCTTGTACCACCTCTGTATGCCGAAGGCAATACAGAGCCCCGTGAGACAACTCCGAGAGAGATGTGATGCATCAAGCAAGTTTGTTGAGCATGATTTGGAGTGCCAGCAATTAACTACTTTAGTAGGTTTTGTTCTGCGGCAGTTGAGAAGTGCATTAAAAAATGCATACCCAATGAAGAACGAACGAATTATTTTTAAGCACAAGTGCGTGTGTTTATTCGCTGCACTTGGTTTTGGGCGGGAGTGCAATATACAAGTGCGTGTGTGTGTTCGCTGTTCTTTGTTTATGCGGGAAATGCATAACCCGCTTAAACAGGCGGCTTTTGCCACTTATTCTTCTTCTTCTTCTGCTAGTTGAAATTTCACTAGCAAGAACTTGCAGCTCTCCCGTGTTGTTACGCTCTCGATTAAGTGCTCTCTCGCAAATTTGTTGGGTTATCATACGCTTTTCCAGTAAAAATTTGCAGGTTCCAGTACAAATTAGTACTGACTATTGGTTACTCTACAAACCTAATGTTTACGTAATAGCTCATTATCATACAAAATCCATATAAACCCAAATCTCAAACTGTAGAATTTATAGCAATCTTTGATTTGAACTTTGAGTATAGAAAAAATATATATCAGGGCTGTTCGGGATCTTGTGCAAATAGTCTTAGATTAGATTAGATTTGAATTTTGTGCTTGCTACCATGGCAACCATCGAAACATATGTTTGTGATCAGCTGATTTTCTTAGGTCGGTGTTATGCATAAATTTTAGGTTTGTTCGTCGAGCAAAAAATTGTACGAATTTGTGCGAATTATCACAATTTTTGCCCAAATCGCGTTCGTGCAGACCAAAAAATTATCCAACACTCAAAAATTGTGAGAGCAAAGTGACAGTTCTCTTGGAGAGAAGTTGCAACGGGCGACCTTTTTTATGAAAAAAGGAAGTAAATAATTGTTGATATAATTAATTTAGTTAATTCCAGTGATTTGAACTTAATTCGGCTGAAAAAAATTTTATTCACAATCGGAATGCAATTGCAACCAGAGTCGATTTAAGGAGCCCGACAGCTATTACGATGAAGAAATTGAAATGTATGTTGAAGAAAGTCAGAACAACAAGAAATATACATGTATATCCTATTTTTGGCCATCCGAAAGAATTTTAAGTTGTGTTTTCGTATTCTCCAGCAAAAAATATCCAGTAACTTGCCAGTAACCAAATCTCGGAGAGTAAGCCAATATTTACTCCCAATGAGTGAAATATGCAAGAAAGTACGAAAACGCAAAACCAGGAAGAATTTGCTAGTTTTATGAACAGCTGATTAATTTTTTATTTTCCGATGCAACTTTCTTAGAAAACTGGTATTTTCAATTTTATTATATATTTAAATAGGTTTATTTTGTCAATTGCAACTCTAAAAGCACCACAAATAATTATTTTCTTAATGTGATTTACAATAAGCATCATGCCATCAGCTGTTTTTCTTACTAGCAAATAGTTGCTAGTAAAAATTTATCCAGTAAAAATTCAGTAAAACTTGCAAGTTCTTTGCTCCCTCAATTTCCCCTCTTTTGCTAGTTTCTTGCAAGTTTTTGCGTACGAAAACGACATCCAGTAAAAAACCAGTAAAATTAATACTGGATTTGCTGGATACGCGAACAGGGCTTTAAAAATTCTACAAAAATTGTTTATGTTTGAAATGCAACCGTGGACGCCAGCTGGCAGAGAAACTTGCAAATTTGCGTTCGTGCAGAAATTTGCAAGTTTCTCAACATGAGAGAGAATTTGAGAGAATTTTTTCTTACTCTCCGATATTTTGAGTGTTGGATAATTCTTGCTGGATTTTCGACGAACAAACCTTTTGTTTGGCAAACTGCGTGCAATTGTTGTTGCAGCAAACTCGGAGAGAGCGAGTTTGGCGACTCTCACAGCAAACTAGTTTTGTTTGGTCAAACTGCAGCAAGTTCGGTATTGTCATATACAAAAATTTTAGACAATTGTTGCTATACACAAAAATTGCTGTGATACCGAAAGCCAGAGAACTGAATTTATGCTGTAAGAGCTTCAAAGATTAGGGCACAGTTAATTGCCTATACGATATCATACAAAATATATTAATTGTGCGCGTTATGTACATCTGAAATTCTCATTTCGTGTTGGCAATAGCTATGAAAACCATAAATAACGTGCAACCCTGTGCCAAACTCGACATAACCACCTCCGAGCAAACTAAGCAGCCGCCATTTAATTTGGCAAACAAAAGTTTGTCTGCATAACACCGACCTAACTTGCAAGTTTTCTCTGGGAAAAATTTTTCCAGCAGAAATTTGCAGCTCTATCACATTTCGCTCTCTCAATTTCCCATACTTTGCAAGTTTTTTGGGTACGAGAACGCAAAACCAGTAAAAGTTTTCTAAAACTTTTAATAGTTTTGCGTACGAGTACACTCCTTTTATAATTAGGGAATATTACAGCAGGAGTGTACTCGTACCCAAAACCATG